CAACTGTTTACTGGCCCGGGATAAGTGGGACTTTGGGGGATTGTCTGTGACCTAATGGACCCTCGTTCCCCGGGCTTTTATTGGTCTATTGATCCAGGCCACGAGCAACGCTCCTCCTCATTGGTCGTTCAGCTGATAATGAAAGGCATGTCATTAGCCAGACAATTAGTAACGGCTGTGAACAATTAGGGCTGCTCGTCGTGCACGGCCATGGAGACTGCCCATTCACCCAATCTCCGGTTAACTTGCTCCAATCACAAGGTGCCAGAGAGGGATCAGGCGTTATCATTGGTAGGTTTACGGACGGCGTAAGGGTAAGCTACTTAACGAGGGGAAGCCATTGTGAGGGGGTTAATTAACTTCTCTTGTTGATGGTTGTAGCTCAATTACCAGCAGTTGGTCGGCCTGATAACGAGGTGTGTAATATCCCGCCGTGAATTAGCGGGTTAAGAGGGTGGCACCACGGCCCCATAACGTGCTCACTGGGCCGGGCAGTGCCACCCCAGCTTCATCCTCCAGGTACTGCCCTCCTCCAGGCACTGCCCTCCTCCAGGTACTGCCCTCCTCCAGGCACTGCCCTCCTCCAGGCACTGCCCTCCTCCAGGTACTGCCCTCCTCCAGGCACTGCCCTCCTCCAGGCACTGCCCTCCTCCAGGCACTGCCCTCCTCCAGGTACTGCCCTCCTCCAGGCACTGCCCTCCTCCAGGCACTGCCCTCCTCCAGGCACTACCCTCCTCCAGGCACTGCCCTCCTCCAGGCACTGCCCTCCTCCAGGTACTGCCCTCCTCCAGGCACTGCCCTCCTCCAGGTATTGCCCGTGGGCTAAGTTTCACAAAGCCTATAGTCTTGCGCTGGTCTCTTAGTCATCCTCTTTATCTTGTGAATCGTCCAATGGTCTTATTTATTAAGAACACTGAACCGAGATAATTATTTAAAAATATCGTAAAACATCTGGTCTATAATTTATAGCATTTCTTATACTAATTGACATGCTTGATCCCAGAGCCACCAAATTTGGTGTTTTATCTAATGAGATCAAAATGAAGATCGTTGCCAGATTTTAGGGATTCTACATTAAGTGGCAGCTGCTGGGACCTGCCTTTAACGCTTTCAATTAAGAGGTTTTTATCATGAAGTAATTCACTCACTTCCCAATTTCCAAGCGCACCTCTTAACGAGGCTTTCTTCACCTCCTAAAATACAGGTTATTGGCAAAGTCTTTCCACTTGACAAGAGAAAGGTAATAGATTATACGGAGGTCGAATCGAATCGAAATCGAATAATACAGAAGATGCCCATTGGGCGAGCCTTGAAGTGGGGACAGCTGAAGAGAAGTCGGTGAGAGGAAAACGCTGAAGTTGAAGAGAAAAGTGCCCGGGCTTGACCCAGCTGCGTGTCTTAAGTCGATGCTGAAAACAACCCAGCATCTGGCTAGGCTGGGAGACGGGTCAGGAAGGCGGTGGTAGCAGTGCTTCTTCATTCAAGGTAGACAGTCTGTCTTCAGGTGGTTCAAGTTCAAGTATGTTTATTGAGATAAGAAAGAAATACATCTCAAAGGGATAGAGTAGCTTAGGCTATGTCTACCCCCCCCCCCACCCTTCAGGTGGTGTCTTCCCGTTACTGGGTCTTTATACTGATGATGTTCTTTTGTTCATAACAAGAGCTACGTTCAGAGCTTTATTAGCAACTGTATTCCACCACAAGATCTCCATCGGCTGTGTTGACTCGGGACACCAGTGCCTGAGACCATTTAGAGAGGCCCCGGGACGCCCAGTGGAGCCATTGTCTACGACTGTCACCTTCTTGATTGACAGAAGCCCGGGAGTGTCGGCCAGTGTGGTGACAATGACACTGTCATCACTCACAACCGGGTGCACGCTTCTCCCAGATTTAGGACTTAACCTAACCTTTTAGACTCTATAAGGTTTGATTAGATTAGGTTTAGAAGGTTAGGTTAGGTTAGGTTAGCTTAGGCGATCGTGGTGAGAACCACTGGTTTAGATGGTGTCTTGAGAAGCTGTACACTGAAGGAGCCGTGTGTGTAGTCAGGATGTACACTGTGTGTGTGAACCTGTATCCAACTAAATTCGGATTCTAAGAGGCCTGGGGCCTGATTCACGACGCAGTTACGCAAGTACTTACGAACGTGTACATCTTTCCTCAATCTTTGACGGCTTTGGTTACATTTATTAAACAGTTTACAAGCATGAAAACTTGCTAATCAACTGTTGTTATTGTTATAAACAGCCTCCTGGTGCTTCGGAGCTCATTAACTGTTTAATAATTGTAAACAAAGCCGCCAAAGATTGAGAAAAGATGGACACGTCCGTAAGTGCTTGCGTAACTGCTTCGTGAATCTGGCCCTAGGAAGCCTCGAAGAGAGAGGTGAATGAATGTCCTGTCATGAGACCCTTCAGACCTGCCGGAATGAGAGTCCTAGAGGTTTTCAATGACTTTAACCACTCCCGTGGTCTTGAGAACGCGCACCCAAAGTTTACCAGTGTAGGTGGCTGGTCACATTAGCTGCTGGAGAAGACATAGCAGGATGTGCAGAATACCCCCGTTGAAAAGCAGAGGTGCAACAGGTACTCTGAGAGAGAACTCTATCAACATCAGAGGCCCGAGACTGTTCAACACGCTTCCACTACACATAAGGGGCATAACTGGCCGACCCCTCACAGTATTCAAGAGAGAACTGGATAAGCACCTCCAAAGGATACCTGATCAACCAGGTTGTGACTCATACGTCAGGCTGCGAGCAGCCGCGTCCAACAGCCTGGTTGATCAGTCCAGCAACCAGGAGGCCTGGTCGACGACCGGGCCGCGGGGACGCTAAGCCCCGGAAGCACCTCAAGGTAACATGGCCCTGTATGACTAGCCAACCTGCGAGAGAGGCATTTTTATTATGACATTACCTAGCTCTCAACACACACATGTAACCCTGCATATAGACCAAGCTTGCTGCATAAACACACATGTACCTAAGTATATTAATACAAGAAACCTGATTGATGTTTGGTGTTGGTGGAGGAACTTAACCGATGGCGGAGGTGTCGCTGGTTATCTTGAGGTTATCTTGAGATGATTTCGGGGCTTTTTAGTGTCCCCGCGGCCCGGTTCTCGGCCTCCACCCCCAGGAAGCAGCCCGTGACAGCTGACTAACACCCAGGTACCCATTTTACTGTTAGGTAACAAGGGCATAGGGTGAAAGAAACTCTGCCCATTGTTTCTCGCCGGCGCCTGGGATCGAACCCAGGACCACAGGATCACAAATCCAGCGTGCTGTCCGCTCGGCCGACCGTACTCATATGAGTAGACCAGAACTCATATTGCTCACACTTGTGGAATAAGTTTCATTAGCAATGCCCCTCTCTAGTGACTAAGCTCAAGGAGGCCGTTTTCTACAGGCGGTCGGCTTCGTCCCGGAGCTGTGTGCGGGATCCATGCTCGCTGACTTATTTAACGCACTCATAAAAACCCTCACATTGCCGCGAGCAACACAGAGCAAGTGCGTGTGGCACCTGGCGACAAACGGCGCCTTGCCTGTAACTACCCGTAAAGTAGACCACTATCTGTTGACACTGAGTGAATAATAAATCTCTTCCCCGAGCATAAAATTGAAGGGTCAACATTAGCGGAATTATTTCGGCACGAGATCCAGTCATAATGAGCGGGAGCAAACACCACGACCGCTAACTCTAGCACCCCCACACCCGCTAACCTGAGCAGTAAACAACCTCGCCTCACACTCACTCACTCACACCGGTCAGAGTGACGTGTGGCCAATATTCACGACTAATTATCCTTCTTTACAGTATGAAATATTGGGTACTGACGGGACTTAGAGCAGTGGAGACAGGACGAGGCTTGGGACACGTGGTGAGTGACGGGTATAGTGGTGAGAGGACGAGGCTTGGGACAAGCCAGGAGGATAGGCATTATTCCTTCACTGCGTGTCCCTATCCCAGCTCCTATCATGTCCTCCTATCCCTTCCATGTACTAAGCAGCCTAACACATGTGAAAAGATCTCCGCTTGATGGCTAGACGTTGCAAGTGACGACGTACGAGCCGAGACCATTGCTACAGTTCAACACTTGTGCAGGATGAACACGGTAGAGATGTGATGTTGCTCCCCAGAACACGGGTCCGGGGGAACAACAGTGTGGGGACACAATAGTCTGATAACTCACGTCAGTAACTATAAACGGCTGACCCGAACACTAGGATATAAAACCCGAGCAGGAACACAATTATGACGTCAGGAGTGACGTCATATCTTGTGTATCTTGAGATGATTTCGGGGCTTTAGTGTCCCCGCGGCCCGGTCCTCGACCAAGCCTCCACCCCCAGGAAGCAGCCCGTGACAGCTGACTAACACCCAGGTACCTATTTTACTGCTAGGTAACAGAGGCATAGGGTGAAAGAAACTCTCCCATTGTTTCTTCTCAGAGATGTATACCATATATTAAACACAAAATTTTATTACACACAGAGATCACACTAACGTGATGCATCAAATGAACAAATCCACAAGGGCCGTGACGAGGATTCGAACCTGCGTCCAGGAGCATGCCAGATATGACATCCCAGGCATGACATCCCTTCAACTCTTTTACCCTGTCGTAGCTCAGTCGATTAAGGCAGTGCCTGGGATGCTCCTGGACGCAGGTTCGAATCCTCGTCACGGCCCATGTGGATTTGTACAAAATTTTATCTTATTTTCGTTACCTTAGGTAAGGATAGAATGGGCTGGGTCGGGTTGTGTTAGTTTTACTTAAGAGTAGCGATGAGGTGTGAAGATTTGTTCAGGTCAAAGACCCTATTAGACTGAACAAGAGCATGGAACACGAGCGCATAAACATTGTCCAGTTGATTGAGAGTTGAGAGGCGGGACCAAAGAGCCAAAGCTCAACCCCTACAAACACAACTAGGTGAGTACAACTAGGGGTGAGTACACACACACAGAGGAAAAGTTCTGAAGCACAATCACAGGTTAAACATGAAGAAAAACCTTACTGTTACTAGAACCTTTCATGTCAACAAGTTACCGGAGGTGGCAGGTAAGGTCCACCAGTCACTGCAAGTTGCAGCAATAAACCACCCAACCTTAGCAACGAACCTTTGACTTTAAGGGAGAGAAAGTAGTTATTTTACTGTACAAGTATGTGGCGCGCCCCCATCTACTGGGGATGGCGCGTCCCCATCTACTGGGGATGGCGCGTCCCCATCTACTGGGGATGGCGCGTCCCCATCTACTGGGGATGGCGCGCCCCCATCTACTGGGGATGGCGCGTCCCCATCTACTGGGGATGGCGCGTCCCCATCTACTGGGGATGGCGCGCCCCCATCTACTGGGGATGGCGCGTCCCCATCTACTGGGGATGGTGCGCCCCCATCTACTGGGGATGGCGCGCACCCATCTACTGGGGATGGTGCGCCCCCATCTACTGGGGATGGTGCGCCCCCATCTACTGGGGATGGTGCGCCCCCATCTACTGGGGATGGCGCGCACCCATCTACTGGGGATGGCGCGCACCCATCTACTGGGGATGGTGCGCCCCCATCTACTGGGGATGGTGCGCCCCCATCTACTGGGGATGGTGCGCCCCCATCTACTGGGGATGGTGCGCCCCCATCTACTGGGGATGGTGCGCCCCCATCTACTGGGGATGGCGCGCACCCATCTACTGGGGATGGCGCGCACCCATCTACTGGGGATGGCGCGCACCCATCTACTGGGCATGGCGCGCCCCCATCTACTGGGGATGGCGCGCACCCATCTACTGGGCATGGCGCGCCCCCATCTACTGGGGATGGCGCGCACCCATCTACTGGGGATGGCGCGCACCCATCTACTGGGGATGGCGCGCACCCATCTACTGGGGATGGCGCGCCCCCATCTACTGGGGATGGCGCGCCCCCATCTACTGGAGATGGCGCGCCCCCATCTACTGGGGATGGCGCGCACCCATCTACTGGAGATGGCGCGCACCCATCTACTGGGGATGGCGCGCCCCCATCTACTGGGGATGGCGCGCCCCCATCTACTGGGGATGGCGCGCCCCCATCTACTGGGGATGGCGCGCCCCCATCTACTGAGGATGGTGCGCACCCATCTACTGGGCATGGCGCGCACCCATCTACTGGGCATGGGGCGCACAGAGGGGCGCAGCTGGACTACTGTAGCCAAGCATGGAGACCTGGTCTTCACAAGGACATAACTGCTTCGGAGAAAATACAACACAGCGACAAAAAATCCTGCTAGAACTTAGCCAACTGGCACCAGGAACGATTGTGAGCCACAGGACTAACAACACTGCCAACCAGGCATGACAAGGCTCACCTCATCCACACCTTTAAAATGCTGAACAAGTTTGAGGATATTAATCCAGACCACTTCCATAAGAGGTCCGCAGACACACCCAGCGACACTTTAAGATCTCACACGACCAAAGTTGTTGTTGTTATAGATTCAGCTACTCGGAACAAGTTGCAAGTAGCACGGGCTATGGTGAGCCCGTAACTTACCTGGCACAGGTGCGGGGCAAGTAGCACGGGTTATGGTGGGCCCGTAACTTACCTGACACAGGAGCAGGACAAGTAGCACGGGCTATGGTGAGCCCGTAACTTACCTGGCACAGGAGCGGGACAAGTAGCAGGGGCTATGGTGATCCCATAGTGGACAATCAATAAAAGGTCAGATATAACACAAGAGGCAACAGCCTCAAGCTCAACAAGCCACAATGTTGGCCCAGAACATATGCTTTTCCGCCCACAGGAGCCAATGGAACTGCCTACCCGCCGAAGCCGTAAAGGCCAACATTACTCCAGTTTAAAATTCAGTTGGAATAAATCTTCAGTAAAAATGGAGAGAATTTTTGACAAGCCGCCGGCTTTCTGTTCCCGTCGAGGCTATCGAGGTAAGAACATTTAGTTTCACCTCGATAACGATTATAACTGTCTTAGAGACAATTACCAACTGTCTGTTGCTTACAGACGAGCCCAAGACACATCTGTTGTTGTTACTGGCGCCACACACGTCAAGTGGTTGACGCCAGACACGTCAAGTGGTTGACGCCAGACACGTTAGGTGGCTCACGCCAGACACACGTCAGGAGGCGCCACACACGTCAGTTGACGCCACACACACGTCAGTTGACGCCACACACGTCAGTTGACGCCACACACACGTCAGAAGGCTGGGTCCCCACAGCGGGCACCCCTCACTCACCGACGTCTTCTACCCAGCACTTTACAGGGCCATATTTACGAGGACAAAACCAGTTTTGCGGCAGCAGCCGTGAGAACGCGCGCGCACATGCGCCGCCAACTAACTGTTTTCTACTAACTTCGCCTGACGGAAGAGAGGCGTGGGAACCCGACGTTACCTTCCCTTTATACCCGTTCCTTGCGCAACTTCCTGTCCCATAATCCTTATTAACATTTTCGTGCCAATGTCCTCCTCCTGTCTCTCCTCGCTGACCTGGTCTAGCGTCCGTGATTGGCTCTCTGTGTCCTGGAGTGTGGAGCGAGGGCGCTCTCGTATTATTACATTACGGGATCACCATAGCCCGTGCTACTTGGTCACTTTTGTTCCCAGTAGCTGGATCTAAAATAACAACAACAACGCTCTCTAAAAGGCTCCATGTATTCTCATTAAGGACTTCCCTGTCAAGCAGTCAAGGGAGCTTTCCATCAGGAGCTCCCTGTTCTCTGTCTTCCCGTCAAGGGCTCCCTGCTCTCTCCTCACCTACGAAGTCAAAAAGAACGAGCTGGATCCTCACCTACGAAGTCAAAAGAACGGGCTGGATCCTCACCTACGAAGTCAAAAAGAACGGGCTGGATCCTCACCTACGAAGTCAAAAGAACGGGCTGGATCCTCACCTACGAAGTCAAAAAGAACGGGCTGGATCCTCACCTACGAAGTCAAAAGAACGGCTGGATCCTCACCTACGAAGTCAAAAGAACGAGCTGGACCCTCACCTACGAAGTCAAAAGAACGGGCTGGATCCTCACCTACGAAGTCAAAAGAACGGGCTGGATCCTCACCGCAACACCTTGAACGGGGCCCTAATTACGGCCACTTTTTAACAGGTAAAATATAGAGTGAAAGAATGATTTTCCGTACTTCCAGGTATTATGTGGTTGCGTTATTGCTAAGACTCTATACCTGCTTGACCACCAGGATTTGTAACGTGTAACGGGCTTGTTACGCATTAGAGGAACAGGTGTAACGCTCTTGTCACGTATTAAAACCTCCCCTAAATTATTTACAATTATAATAATCTAAATTATTATTTTGTTCCGTAAAAATATTTATATTTAGATTTGAGTCACAACCTTCCTCTAATAAAGATAGAGTTGGATAGTACAGCAGAGGACGCAAGTGTATAGCAGAGGACGCAAGTGTATAGCAAAGGACGCAAGAGTATGGCAGAGGACGCAAGAGGATATGAGGACGCAAGAGTATAGCAGAGGACACAGAGTACAAACGAGTATAACAGAGGACGCAAGAGTATAGCAGAGGACGCAAAGTACAAGAGAGTATAGCAGAGGGGCAGAGCTCCGTAGACCGGCCGCTGTACCCAGTGCTTCAGCATTCATCACATTATTCATTTCAGGGAGGAAATTGTAGTTATTATTCCTCAAGCGAGAGACAATTACTGGACCGTAAGCCGCGTGGACCGGGGTCCATCACACTAGCTGCGTGGACCGGGTCCATCACACTAGCCGCGTGGACCGGGTCCATCACACTAGCCGCGTGGACCGGGGTCCATCACACTAGCCGCGTGGACCGGGGTCCATCACACTAGCCGCGTGGACCGGGGTCCATCACACTAGCCGCGTGGACCGGGGTCCATCACACTAGCTGCGTGGACCGGGGTCCATCACACTAGCCACGTGGACTGGGACCATCACACTAGCCGCGTGGACCGGGGTCCATCACACTAGCTGCGTGGACCGGGGTCCATCACACTAGCTGCGTGGACCGGGTCCATCACACTAGCTGCGTGGACCGGGGTCCATCACACTAGCTGCGTGGACCGGGGTCCATCACACTAGCCGCGTGGACCGGGGTCCATCACACTAGCCGCGTGGACCGGGGTCCATCACACTAGCCGCGTGGACCGGGTCCATCACACTAGCTGCGTGGACCGGGGTCCATCACACTAGCCGCGTGGACCGGGGTCCATCACACTAGCTGCGTGGACCGGGGTCCATCACACTAGCTGCGTGGACCGGGGTCCATCACACTAGCCGCGTGGACCGGGGTCCATCACACTAGCCGCGTGGACCGGGGTCCATCACACTAGCTGCGTGGACCGGGGTCCATCACACTAGCCGCGTGGACCGGGGTCCATCACACTAGCCGCGTGGACCGGGGTCCATCACACTAGCTGCGTGGACCGGGGTCCATCACACTAGCCGCGTGGACCGGGGTCCATCACACTAGCTGCGTGGACCGGGTCCATCACACTAGCCGCGTGGACCGGGGTCCATCACACTAGCCGCGTGGACCGGGGTCCATCACACTAGCTGCGTGGACCGGGGTCCATCACACTAGCCGCGTGGACCGGGGTCCATCACACTAGCTGCGTGGACCGGGGTCCATCACACTAGCCGCGTGGACCGGGGTCCATCACACTAGCTGCGTGGACCGGGGTCCATCACACTAGCCGCGTGGACCGGGTCCATCACACTAGCTGCGTGGACCGGGGTCCATCACACTAGCCGCGTGGACCGGGGTCCATCACACTAGCTGCGTGGACCGGGGTCCATCACACTAGCCGCGTGGACCGGGGTCCATCACACTAGCCGCGTGGACCGGGGTCCATCACACTAGCTGCGTGGACCGGGGTCCATCACACTAGCCGCGTGGACCGGGGTCCATCACACTAGCTGCGTGGACCGGGGTCCATCACACTAGCCGCGTGGACCGGGGTCCATCACACTAGCTGCGTGGACCGGGGTCCATCACACTAGCCGCGTGGACCGGGTCCATCACACTAGCTGCGTGGACCGGGGTCCATCACACTAGCCGCGTGGACCGGGGTCCATCACACTAGCTGCGTGGACCGGGGTCCATCACACTAGCCGCGTGGACCGGGGTCCATCACACTAGCCGCGTGGACCGGGGTCCATCACACTAGCCGCGTGGACCCGGGTCCATCACACTAGCCGCGTGGACCGGGGTCCATCACACTAGCCGCGTGGACCGGGGTCCTGCCTACCTGTACCACCCACACCTGACCTGTGTACCTATACCACCCACACCTGACCTGTGTACCTGTACCCCCCCACACCTGACCTGTATACCTGTACCCCCCACACCTGACATGTGTACCTGTACCACCCACACCTGGCCTGTGTACCTGTACCCCCCACACCTGACCTGTATACCTGTACCCCCCACACCTGACCTGTGGACCTGTACCACCCACACCTGGCCTGTGTACCTGTACCCCCCCACACCTGTCCTGTATACCTGTACCCCCACACCTGACTTGTATACCTGTACCCCCACACCTGGCCTGTGTACCTGTACCCCCCCACACCTGTCCTGTATACCTGTACCCCCACACCTGACCTGTATACCTGTACCCCCACACCTGACCTGTATACCTGTACCCCCACACCTGACCTGTATACCTGTACCCCCACACCTGACCTGTACCCCCACACCTGACCTGTATACCTGTACCCCCACACCTGACCTGTATACCTGTACCCCCACACCTGTCCTGTATACCTGTACCCCCACACCTGACCTGTATACCTGTACCCCCACACCTGACCTGTATACCTGTACCCCCACACCTGACCTGGGTGTAGCCCAGCCACACCCAGGATCAACCAAAAAATAGCCACCATAACAGCAATAACAGTTACAGCCCTGCTCCTGTGCCAGGTAAGTCCACTACGGGCTCACCATAGCCCGTGCTACTTGGAACTTTAGTTCCGAGTAGCTGAATCTAAAACAACAGCAGCAAAACTTGTTGGAACTACCGCTAGACTGTCGATCAAAGATAGCATACACAGATCGCTTCATAACCTGGCCCCTAGGTTAGGTTAGGTTAGGTAAGGTAAGGTAAGGTAAGGTAAGGTAAGGTAAGGTAAGGTAAGGTAAGGTAAGGTAAGGTAAGGTAAGGTAAGGTTAGGTTAGGTAAGGTTAGGTTAGGTAAGGTTAGGTTAGGTTAGGTTAGGTTAGGTAAGGTTAGGTTAGGTTAGGTAAGGTTAGGTTAGGTTAGTTTAGGTTAGGTTAGG